CTTTTTTATACAGTTAATCTTCTGAAGTAAAACTATACGACAGTGACTTTTTTATACAGTTAATCTTCTGAAGTAAAACTATATGACAGTGACTTTTTTATACAGTTAATCTTCTGATGTAAAACTATATAATAGTGACTTTTTTTATACAGTTAATCTTCTGAGGTAAAACTATATGACAGTGACTTTTTTTATACAGTTAATCTTCTGAAGTAAAACTATATGACTGAATTTTTTATACAGTTAATCTTCTGAAGTAAAACTATAGGACAGTGACTTTTTTATACAGTTAATCTTCTGAAGTAAAACTATACGACAGTGACTTTTCTATACAGTTAATCTTCTGAAGTAAAACTATACGACAGTGATTTTTCTATACAAAAATTATTCTTCAGAAGAAGATTTAGTTCACAAGGAGTTACTGAAAGTCAAACTGTACAATAATGACTTTTCCATGCAGTAAGTCTAATGTAATGCCTATAACTACTTAATACAAGAATATGGATAACGTCTACAGGAACATATACTACTATATAATATAAAGTTCAGTGAAATTCCCCTGGAATGTCTACTGCTAAATAATACAAAGTTCGGTAAAATTCCACTGGAACATATACTACTACATAACACAAAGTTTAGTGAAATTCCAATGGAATATATATACTACTACATAATACAAAGTTCAGTGAAATTCCACTGGAACATATACTACTACATAATACAAAGTTTAGTGAAATTCCAATGGAATATATACTACTACATAATACAAAGTTTAGTGAAATTCCAATGGAACATATACTACTACATAACACAAAGTTTGGTGAAATTCCAATGGAATATATACTACTACATAACACAAAGTTTAGTGAAATTCCAATGGAATATATACTACTACATAATACAAAGTTTAGTGAATGCCTACTACTGTGTAACATAATGTTTAGTAAAAACTCTTCTGGAATATTCTAATACTTGTAAAGTTTCTTAAACTGCCCGAAAAAGTGACGAAGTTGATTTAAAGAAAATGTCAATATTTTGACAGATTAGCTCAGTCCTATTTAAAAATGACACTATTTCAAGTATCTTTCAAAATTTCTTGATAACAAGTGTGCAATATGGTTACATAAAGTATGTTTATACATTTTGCAAAAAACATACTAATGCAACCACTATTGACAAATCATTGTCAGATTTTGAAAAAGGTAACTCAACAAGTTACAAACCTTGGATACTTGAGGATTTGTGCCCTTAACAAAGTCAATATAATCATTGTAGAATACTAAAGGACCACACAAGAGTGTTTGGAAATGAAAGATGTAACTGAAGAATTCCAGCATTGTTGGTATGCGTCTAAAAAAGCATAACAAAAAATCAAAAAAGTAGTAACACTAATTATGACTAATAAAGATAATTAAAATTAAAAATGCTGACCATATTTTTAAAAATCATTCAGAAAAACAATATTCATAATTTCACCCAGTAGCACCTTGATGAACTTTATTTTAAAACTAGTTCAAACTAAAAAAGAAAAAAAAACACATTTCTGAAATTAGTTCAGAAAAACAACTTTCACCTACAAGAAATGTATCTCAAAAATGATCTATAAAGAAACTTCTGTTGAGCAGAACATTTTCTTAATATATTTTAACGTTTTTGATTAAAAGAAAATAATAGAATATTGTAAAATTTTACTGGTACTGTACCTAAACAGAAACTATAACTTTGCTTCAGTAAAAATAAAAAAATTTCTAATCATATTCATACCGAATCACAATGATCAAGTCTAACTCAGTGTTTCTGACACAAATAAATCATACTTAATCTGTTTAAGCAATTTGTTTTTCTTAAATAAATGTTTAATGAGTTGTTTGTAAAAAGAATACTACTTGATGATGTGTTTTCTCTGATGAACTGTTAGCTTATCTTCTGGCCTTGTTAAACCATCATGAAGACTGAAGGCAATGCTTGTGACTTTCTGTGTGGCAATCATCACAGGACTGAAAACATCAAACCATTAAAGAGAGTGAATAAATAACTTAACTGTGTGACTATGGTTCTCACACAATATTTAAAAAAAGAACAAAAAATAAACAGACACTCCCTACCTAGGTATACATGAACCAATGTATTATGTTGTGACAACCTTTATTAATTACTATGTGGTTATGATAATGACTGATATAGACTGTATAACAACCTGTATTTTTGAGGATACGAACTCACATACTGTGTTTTGACAACTTATATTAATTACAGTAACGTACATAAGTTGACACAGTAATACCGAGGTCTCCTGTAATCTGTCAAGTTAACATTCTGCTACCACTGCTTACAACTTAAAATAACAATCCTTGTAAACATTAGGTATCTGTCTTGTTAATATTGTTCTACCACTTAAACTAACAATCCTTGTAAACATTAGGTATCTGTCTAGTTAACATTGTACTACCACTTAAACTAACAATCCTTGTAAACATTAGGTATCTGTCTAGTTAACATTGTACTACCACTTAAACTAACAATCCTTGTAAACATTAGGTATATGTCTTGTTAATATTGTTTTACCACTTAAACTAACAATCCTTGTAAACATTAGGTATCTGTCTAGTTAACATTGTTCTACCACTTAAACTAACAATCCTTGTAAACATTAGGTATATGTCTAGTTAACATTGTACTACCACTTAAACTAACAATCCTTGTAAACATTAGGTATATGTCTAGTTAACATTGTTTTACCACTTAAACTAACAATCCTTGTAAACATTAGGTATATGTCTAGTTAACATTGTACTACCACTTAAACTAACAATCCTTGTAAACATTAGGTATCTGTCTTGTTAATATTGTTTTACCTCTTAAACTAACAATCCTTGTAAACATTAGGTATCTGTCTAGTTAACATTGTTCTACCATTGTTTACAATTGACAGTAACAGTCCTCACTAGTAAATCTTTACAGTCAAAGTAAACACTGATATTACATTAAACTAGTACATAAACTGTAAACCTTTTAATCCAAGTGGATTTGATCCAGACATATAGTACCACTGTAAATGTGTATATACAAACCCAGTTATATCAAGTGTCCATCCACCAAATTCGTACTGCAACCGGAGCAGGTGGAGTGAGGATAGATACAGCATAGAGATAAAGAGGACCCTCCTGAAAGGACACAAACACTTATTGAAACAAATTTTATTTGACTTAATTAGTAAGATATTAAAGCAATACAATTTATAATAAACCTTGCCACATATTTGATAATCAGTAATACAATCTATGTTTCAGTTAGCTTTCAAAAAAATGAAAGAAAGAAAGAAAGCTTCATTTATAAGCAAATAACATTATTTTAATTATCTCTCCATGTGTTCTTTCATTCTAAGAAATGTAAGCAGCTTAGTTCCTGTACAGCTGAAATTTGTTAGGAACTGCTGATTTCACCAATCTTTAAAAGCTACAAATCCCTATTTTGACTCCATATCTATAGTAGTTATCAATTTTAGTGGAGTCAAAATAAGGATTTGTAGCTTGAGAAAATAATGTAGACACTATTTCCAGCCTAGTTTGTTTAGAGTCCCTAGTTGTAGGCTTGAAAATATAATCTTTACATTTTGATTCAACTTGTTTCTGTACTTGTTTGACACTCCCTATCCCCCCTTTTTAAATGAACAATTTCTAATTATCTTGATTCTTAAGTTTTTTAAAATAAATCTCAAGCTACATATGTAAATATACATTCAGTTGAATGTTACATGTTTTTCAACAGTCTACTGCTGCTTTGGTTTTTTTCCACCCATTATTTACTGAGCCAGGTTGGTTTGTGCCCAAGGTTTCATGTAAACACGTGTTTAACAAGTGTCAAGTACAAAGGAAGCTGCTCACAACATCACATATATTATGTATTTATAGTCACATAAGTCAACTTCTTAAATAGGTCATGGACATTCATAGTGTTTTATATAGTATATCTGTCCAGGTTTTGGTACAAAATACCCAGTTGATTTTGCTGTAGGCTCGTGAAACCAAAATATGAATAATAATGATAAAATAATACTAAAATATGCACTCAAAATTTCAGCAAAGCATAAAAATCAGTAGAATAAATCACCACTCACAAGAGTAGAGAAATCTACTATGGTAATCGTCTACTGCTAGAAAACTCACTGAAATAGTCGCAGAAAACCACATAGAGACAAAGTACAACAAATAACTTGAAAAATAATGAATCTTCAATGTGGCAGTTTCCAAATAATGTACATTAGTAAAACACTGGATTTTTTCAATGGCAGAAAGCGAAGGACTTGGGGAAATTCTTCAGGGCAAAAAACAAAGGCATTTATTATATTAATTTTAAACTACCCTATGTCACACTCAATACTGCATTCATTACTACTGTTCATGTTTCAGTAAAATATTCATAGCTGTTTTTTCCTGTAGTAACTTGTAAAACTATAATCAATAAATATACACATGGTTTACTCTAATAAAATAAAGCATTTCTGACTCGGATAATGGTGCTTAAATGGCTTCTACATTTGTGCGAGGTTTGAATGCCTTCAAAGAGATTATTTTGGTAGCAAAAAAGAATTTAGAAAATTTTGTAGGGTAGAAATCACGCGTTTCCAAAATCAACTTAAAAACAGCCCTACAACCTTCACAGGAGTTTGATTGGTAGATTTGTCCAGGTTTGAATAAAATATTCATAGTCATTTTTTCTGTAGGTTTGTGAAACAATAATAATATTATTATGAAGAACAAATGGATGAATTTTGTTTACTAATCAGAAAATCAACTTTTTTTTTGTTATTATCAATATTTTTGCAGCCTTAGCCATTAAAATAGAAGGTCTTTAGTGTTGTTTCAAGAACAAGTCTGCTGCTTTTTTTAAGATGGTTTTTGCCTGCATGTTCTATTAGAATTTGTGAAATTCCTGGGTGATCCCTATTATGAACCACTATTGTGGTTCTTGATTATTTTATTAAGTTTCTAAACCTAGGTTTCAACATTTCAGAGTTGTACTGTTCAATAACCCAGTATTGAATTGTTGAACAATTGAGTTATATTGTTAAATAAACCAGAGCTGTATTGTTCAAGGTCCCAATGTTGTGTTGCTGAAAATCCATGATTTCTATCATTAAACAACCCACAACTCTTATTGTTCAATAACCCAGTATTGAATTGTTGAACAATTGAGTTATATTGTTAAATAAACCAGAGCTGTATTGTTCAAGGTCCCAATGTTGTGTTACTGAAAATCCATGATTTCTATCATTAAACAACCCACAACTCTTATTGTTCAATAACCCAGTGTTGCATTGTTTAACATCCATGAGTTCTATCATTAAACAACCCACAACTCTATTGTTCAATAACCCAGTGTTGCATTGTTTAACACCCATGAGTTCTATTGTTAAACAACCCACAACTCTTATTGTTCAATAACCCAGTGTTGCATTGTTTAACATCCATGAGTTCTATCATTAAACAACCCACAACTCTATTGTTCAATAACCCAGTGTTGCATTGTTTAACACCCATGAGTTCTATTGTTAAACAACCCACAACTCTATTGTTCAATAACCCAGTGTTGCATTGTTTAACATCCAAGAGTTCTATTGTTAAACAAACCAGAGCTGTATTGCTAAAGAGCCTGGAGTTGTATTCTTGAACATCCTTAAATTGTACTGTTAAACAACACAAACAGCTCTATTGTTCAAGAATCCAGTGCTGTATTCTTGAACATTCTTAAATTATACTGTTAAACAACACACACAGCTCTATTGTTCAAGAATCCAGAGCTGCATTCTTGAACATCCTTAAATTATACTGTTAAACAACATACACAGCTCTATTGTTCAAGAATCCAGTGCTGTATTCTTGAACATTCTTAAATTATACTGTTAAACAACACACACAGCTCTATTGTTCAAGAATCCAGTGCTGCATTCTTGAACATCCTTAAATTATACTGTTAAACAACATACACAGCTCTATTGTTCAAGAATCCAGTGCTGTATTCTTGAACATTCCTGAGTTGTAGTATAAACAACTCATAGTTGTATTATTCAAAATTCTGGAGTTATGTTGTTGAATGTCCCTGATTTGTATTCTTAAATAATGCAGAGTTCTATTGTTCAACATTCTGCTTATATAGAATTTTTAAACAATTTCTTGAAGTACTTAGGAAAACGTTGAAATGCACCCATTACATACATCTACACTCAGTACACAGCAAACAGTTTTTATCTATATGCATAAATAACCAAGGTTATGAGAAAATATTTCTTGTGATTTGATAAATATCTACTCAGTACTTTTTATTGTCCCAACAAAAGAAACAAATATAAATAGTATCTACAAAGAATCAATAAACTACTTTCTTAAAAATTCTTAGGATTTTTCAGTTCTTATTTCTATTCCAAAAAGAGCTAAACATTAGAATAGGATAAAATAAACCCTCAACAAAATACAGTGTTGATCACAATAGATGGTAACAATTCAATATTCAAACACCTTCTCCATGTGGCCTAAGATTTACACATGTTAAAACTCCTTCATAATTCAGTTGAAGTATGGTGATGTGCAGATGGTATCTAAGTCACACCCCTTTTGTGAGAGGGCCTTCCTATGACAAGTTCATGTGTTCTATGATAGGCAAAGCATGAAAATTTAACATTTAGAAGAAAGTCATATCTATGGTGTTGAACTGTCTCAGTAAATAAGAAGAAAATGTGATCCCAGAAGGGAAAAAAACATGTTAATCCATGACTGGCTACCTATAACACACTAGAGGTAGTGTAAAAAATTGTCACCAAAAGTAATCCAAGAATACAGCTAAAGTAGGAACCTCTCTCAGAACTTAAGTTAATTCATATGGATTTAAATCCACAAAAGCAACACACAGCCAAACAATAAATTCAATGTTGAAAGTTGTACAGGTGGTATCTGATGTGTAATCACATAGTCACACCTGGCCACTTCATTATTGTCCCACCAGTGATGCAACATTTAAAAAATAGTACAAAGCATGTGAGAAAGTTTTGGTTGCAGAATACACAGTAAGTTAAACATCCGTAGCACTGGTGAAAGTGTCAAGGTGAATCCACGTGTGAGGAATCGCCATTTCCCACGGACTTTGAGAATCGGTACGATTCACACACAGTTCATGGTCTTTAGAAACATTTAGAAAGAAGGGGGTGACCTGCACTGCAGAACAATAAACAGGCCCAGAAAACCATTTTACCTGTGTAGAATCTCAGGGTTTACATTGTTCATAACGATGTACGCCAGTGTTCCTTGTACACACAGATGGCTGATCTGACTGTAATGAGAAAAAACAAAGTTAAACCGTTCACATTTATTACTGACAACTTTTCGTGTAATTAACTAACCTACTGAAATTGCTTACATTTAGACTGTACTAGTTGTATATAAAAGCTGATGGTTTTGTTGAAAACAAATGTAAATATATATATTTTCATATTATACATTCATACATATAAGCAAAAAAAGGTATTACTTATCAACTGTGAAGTACAATTATGTATGTTCATACTAATATAAAATAATTGAAATTTCTCATTTTAGAATTTGTTTAAAGGTTTAAACATTCTATAACAACATTCTTTATTATTTAGATACAAAAGACAAGCTAATCTGGTAACTTTAAAGATAAGTAACACATGCATCAGTGAATATAGCAAAATATTTACACAGTGATGACCTAAAGCCAGATGTCAACAAGCTAGATGCTAATTTGGCAATTTTTAATTAAAGTGCATAAAACAAAAGCTGATTTATGTATTTCATTTGTTTGTGTAAAGTTAAAAAATAATATTTTCTGATAATCTAATCAAAGATAAAAATCAGAAAAACCAGAATGCTTCAACCTTGTTTTTTAGAATCATACAAACCATCCAGTCCTGGATATATATCAATACGTTATTTACTAATTTGCAGCGAGTGAGTGAATATATATACATATATTACAATATTTGTGAAAGACATTTCTTGGACTGCACAGATATGGAATTCATATTTTTCAACACCTGGGAAAAAAGAGATTTGTAAGTTTCACCATTACACTTTGCCTGTTAGACAACTGTTTCTTATTTATTTCTTTTGCTGGAAAAATACTCCAGGTAGTTTTATTGAGAGCCACTCCAGTTACTGAAAATTCTGAGAATTTAAAACTGTGTATCTCTCAACTTTAGTCCAAAATTATTTATCTAAAGAAATATCTCTCTTTAATTCACAACTCTATAATCATATGCACAATAACAAATATTTTTAAATTAATGCAATGATATTATTTCATTAGCAGCCAAGTAAAGTTTGACTGCCAGTTCTATGTAGAATATATAAACTTTATTAATTATAAGACCATTTTAGTTCATGACAATAGTAACATAAACCATGATTTCTTTATCAGTTTGTACTTGAAGTATTCTACATGCTGGATAGTAACATCATAATGACTAGATCTTAAAGACCATAAAATATACATCAGAGTATAGATCCAAAACAAGGTGTACATCACTCACGACAAAAACTGAACTACCATTTTACTGACTGAATTTACTGTTAAGTAAAAGTAGAATCTTAAATATTATATTTTACTTTTCTATCTTTTGTTGAATGAGGGGCAAGGTTTAAAGCAGGTCAAGTATAGAGTTGGACAAGGAGTTTTTAAATAACCTAGTACTTGTAATGTTATCTCTTTAAATCTGAAGTTGTGTAAAGTTCAAGTTCTCCAATACTGAAATAAGTTTAAGGTAGAATGTCAGAACTGTTATCGGATGTGATTACATTAAACTAAAACTGTTAAACAAGACAAAGTATCATGCTATTTGTTTGTCTTTTACAAGTTCTTCTATAAATAATTGTATCTGAAAGTGAGATACAAAAAATCTTATGTAAATTTAATCAACTTCTGAAAGGACGAAGATCATAATTAACTTTTCAATTTTATCTTACAGAAAAATCGACCAATTAATTTACACCAAAGCCATAAAAAAATTTTAAAAAATTAAACAATCATGCAACTGGAACTCACTATTACAAAGCACAGGTGTTAACACATTCATCAGACTATCAGCAATGACTTACTGATACACCTACACCTTAGTGAACAAGTCTTGATAAAAATTTGTGTCATCACAAATTTTGAAAGCACTATAAGTACTGATAACTCTGGTGCAATGAGTTGGTTGCAACTACACGAGAGGCCAAATCAAGATTCCAAATAAGATTATGCAATGCATGTACAATTAATTCTATTAATGATAAATAATCAAAGGTTAAAAGTTTCATCTTAAAAAATACTAAAACATTTTGTTTCTGTTTAAGCACCAAGCTACATAATGGACTATCTGAGCTCTATCCACTGCAGAGATAAAAACCCTATTTTAACATTATAAGCCCTCGAGTTTATTGTTGAGCCACACTGGAGGACTCACATTTGGTTAAATTCATTAAAATTAAACCCATTTCTAAGGTAAGCATGCTTATCAAGGTTTGAATTTTACCATAGAAAACTGTTATAACTTTGATCTGATACCCTTTTGTTAGCTCAGTTCAAAATGATTTTTCAAAGTTTGATATTGTTATATCTATCAGGTAGCCAATCATGCATGTGCATCTGTGGTATATTGATTTATAAGTTAATCAATAGTTATTTAATTACATGTATATCTAATAACTGAATACCTTCCACCTCAGAAGCCTGCAAGGAATACTTGATATCTCCTGGCAAGACAAGGTAACTAACACCGATGTACACTCTGTTACGACAGCGCCGGTTGCGCTGGATAGGCCACGTGCATCGTATGAAGGATGGCCGAATCCCAAAAGACATCCTCTACGGAGAGCTTGCCGAAGGACAGAGAGGCATCGGCCGCCCGCAGCTTAGATACAAGGATATTTGCAAAAGAGACATGAAGGTGCTCAACATCAACACCGAAACTAACCCTAACCTCACATTTCATAGCTACAAGTACTACCACCCCACCCTATAGTATACCCTAACCTCACATTTCATAGCTACAAGTACTATCACCCCCACACTATAGTATACCCTAACCTCACATTTTGTAGCTACAAGTACTACCACCCCCACCTTATAGTATATCCTAACCTCACATTTCATAGCTACAAGTACTACCACCCACACCCTATAGTATACCCTAACCTCACATTTTGTGCTACAAGTACTACCACCACCACCCAAATGTGAGGTTAGGTATACTATATGGTAGTACTTGTAGCTATGCCCCCACCCTATAGTATACCCTAACCTCACATTTCGTGGCTACAAGTACTACCACTCCCACCCTCTAACCGCACATTTCATAGCTAACTGAAATAAATAAATTTTGCAAAATCAAGTTTCACCAACAAAGAAGCAGGAAAGTGCACTAGAGGCAGTCAAATGTTGGTGAATTCCTTTCTGAGCCAATCTAGATTAAGATCATTCATGAAATGAATTTGTGGTATACTCATAGAACAATTATTGGCAAAACTCTGTTAGATTAACCCTTCCATTATCAGCTCGTAACCATTAAAGTATCCATGAGTGTAATTATACTATGATTTTTGATAATGTATGCATATCTTTATAAATTTTTGCAGGCTATTGGTAAACATTACAAGGCTTTCATACACAAAATAGCAGGTTTTTAAATTAAGTATTAAGATTTTTTAATCAAATATTTTCTCGTGTTTTTTTTCTTTCAGAATGTTGACTATCTAACATGCAAAGTAATTTTGATTTTAAGATCAAAAGTACTTTTATGTTTCACAAAATTTTCAAATTCCACACGCAAATTCTTTATAACCTCCAGATAATTACCAATTTTTTTTCTTCATATTTTATCTGTTATTTTCACTACTATATCTCTGTATGGGTTGGTTCAATTTGACTGACCTCATAACCACCATAAAAAAATTAGGAAATAAATAAAAATTATGCTTTTTTCATTTTAGAATGACTACAAATTATAACATGAAAACACATGTGTTTAGACTAAATAGTTTAAATTTCATAACATTATACATTTATATATATTTATTATATTGACCTTTTGGTTGTGCCTGGTTAACATTACTGAAGTTGCAATGATGCAGCACACGTTTACTCATGTCACTGTATCCAAGAATATAAAACTATCTTGGCTGTGTTTTAGTGGACTAGTATTTTGTAAAATACAGTCACATTTCAGTTTTAATACATTATATATGTATATAGATTACTACTATTTTAAAAAGTTCTTAAATTTCAGTTATTTTTCTTAAAACATAGAACAGTAAATAGAGAATTATAGAAAACAATTATCTCTTCTAGTTATGAACTCTGAACTTGTTCGCTGCTTGCCATATGTTGCTAAGCCTTATCAAATTTTGCACTTGGAGGATGCGAAACCGAAAGTTTTTTTAGTTATATATATATACATTATAAAATAACCAAAAGTCATAAATTACTATATCATTACCACAGAATTCTACTA